GACGGAAAAAAAAAGCGAGATGCGTTGCTCCCATCTTCCAGTTTCATGGAGCATGCGCGAGCTCGTAGACCGAACTACAAAGGGGTAATGATATATGACCATGAGTATGGGGAGGGTTTGTCACTCGATGTGAACAACGGTCGGAAAGACAAAGAAAGCAAGTCAGCAAAGGATACCGAAAAAAACAAAGCAGGGAATTGCAGCACATCTGGAAAGCCACCACAACCCAAATGCATTTGGAATTGCAGGAAGAAAAAAGATAGAGAGTTGCTAAAGGGACGTGAATGCTTCGAGTGCAAACGTTTTCGTGACGCGGTTGGTGTGCACGGAAAAGAACGACATGAAATTGTGCAAGAATGTTCACGACACAAGGAGAACCAACATAGACCGTCGACACCGCCTGGTTTTTGGAACATAGGCTTCTCTGATTCGGAAAAGTAGGATGCTTAAGAGAGAGAGAGAGAGATGTAACGCATAACATTGTGTCACATGCTGTATTTCATTCGTGCAGCCACTACAAGGTATCGTTGCGGTGTCGTTATTATTCGAGTTCATCGTGTGCGCAAATGTCGAAAGACAAACTACTGAGCGACGTAAGACTCGCAATTAAAGATGTGGTCAACACTCTTGAAGTGGCTACGAAACGCTTGCATGCAGTCGAGGAAGTCCTTCAGAGCACGGCTGCTGATTTGCATGTTATGCGACAAGAAATCGACTTGCACGAACGGCGTGTGAGTGTTAGGGAAAATGAACTTCTACATTACAGAACACAGACTGCTAATGCAAATCAGCCATGTGCTGATGGTTCTCATATGAAGAAGATGATGTCTGGGACAGGGACTGTGAGGTGCAACAGTGAGGGTCGTTGCCTAGCATGTGGTCGCTACCCAACTGGGAGCACAACAATGGTTCCCCCGTCTTCGAAAACGTTATGTCAGAGGAATGTTCCATCGCCCAGCGCATCACTCCGATCAGTGAACTCAAAAAGAAAATTGTCATTTACGAATATTTGATGTCGCATTTGGGACCGGAAGAATGTGCAATATATGCGGGGTTCGTTTATTCGTAAAGTGATATGTTTCACACACGTAATTACGTCTCTCTCTCTCTCTCTCAATTTTTTTTTTTTTCAATAAAAAACAAAAAACACAAACCTAAGCACCTAAGCACCCRACCACCGACATAACCACCCACCCACCAACCCGCCCACCCACCCATCAACCCGTCAGCCCACCACCCAGCCACCCAACTACCCACCACCCAACAAATCAACCAATCCATAAACGCACTCACCCAAACATAATACCCAAATGTACGACCCTCCCAAACCACCCAATCAACCACCACAGCCACCCAACCATCCACTCCAGTCGCCCAACCAACCGCTAGCCCCAACCGACCACTCAACCACCCCATGTTTCGGAGCCCGCCCATCCAACCACCCAACCAACCAACCGACCCTCCTAACCCCCCATCCACCCAACCACTCACCTAACCGAACAACGAACCACCCACCCACCCAACCACCCAGCAACCGAACCACCCACCCACCCACCCAACCACCCAACCAACCAACCAACCAACCCATCAAACCACCAAACCGCCTAACCACCCAACCAACTAAGCAACCAGCCACACAACCACCCATCCATCCGCTCAACCACCCAACCAACCACCTAACTCAACCGCCCAACCACCCAACCACCCAACTAACCAACCAGCGTACTACTGTTCGTAATTATTGTTATTATGTTTTTTATTGCGCAGCCTCGAGACTCGACTCATTGTGTCCGTCGCTTATCGTACGCATTGTGTTGCCGTCATCTTTCGCAGTGTCGTCGGCCAGCGATTGAGATTGTTCATAATTGCCAGGTTCACTTATTCAACCTTGCAACACAACATGGCCGACGTAGTTGTTGTTGTGAAAGAGGTTGTGGATGGAAAGGAAATCGTCGTGAGAGAGACAGTGTGTGAGCACGATACTGAAAACGAAAGAGACTTTGAATACTAGGAAGGGGTTGTCGCCACGAAAACACGTGTGTACTACACATTCATCGAGGATACCCTCGCTTTGATGGTCGTGGCGGGACTGGGGTACGACGACCTTGATTGCCTTGATGAGGTTGTAATGCATGCAAAAAAAAATTCGGATGTTGTTCCCGACGCCTGTGAACCCCCCGACTTCGATATAATTGGTTATTTGCTAAGGTGCATCGAGTCAGTCGTTGCGGTCGATCATGTGGAAAGGTTAGCACGCAACGCATGGTATTTCTCCAAACTCGACCGGCCGCTACAACATCGTAGTTTTCTCCACGGAGATGTGCGTAGTGTGATGCCAAAGGACGGTTGCGGACAATAGTGCGAAAGTGTCAACGAACCATCATCCCGCTCGTCTCATGCGTAGTCTGAAACAGGTGGGTTGACGAACAAAATCGTAAAGGTTTTCAACATTCAACAACGTTCAAGATCGCGACTACCCACTCATCCCATATATATGTATACAGGGCGATCCCCCTCCCCGTACGATACATGCAGAATATCATGTTCGCGTTATTCGTTACTCGATCGTTGGATTCATAACTTATGGTCTTGGTTTCTGTTAATTGCAGCACTTTTCAAATGTCGTACGTAAGAAGCGACGATGCATTGCGCGCCAATGATTTTTCAATGTTACCACACCACAAAACTGACAGGCGGCGACACCGTATACTATTACGAATCAATGACTCCCGTAACAGATCCTGTCGACGATGCAGTGGGATACCGCAATGGAGACAAGAAGGTGGTTCGTTATTTCGTTGTTAGCGTCGAGGAGGAACGAGTCGTCAGGCTCACTATAGAGACTTATATTCGTGACCACGCCATCGAACACGTTCGTGTCCGAATGTCTAAGCCGACCACGTACTTCAGCACCATTGTTCTCAAACCGGTCGACGGTGATTTGATGTATGATATCGTCTTTCCCCTTGTGCATCGCATGCTATACACACACTACGGGACGGTCGCTCGGGACGCCATCTGACGCCTGGTCGTGTCACTGCCCTATTTTGTCTCCGATGGCGAGGATTTTTCTGCCATGTTTTATCCTTGCAGTGCGATCCAGCGATGAGTACCATTCATTTTTTGTTTTTCTATGTTTCTTCGTTGTTGGAGAGAGACAAAATGATGGTTTCAAATATTGAACATTTTGTGTATACATATCCAATCATCATCTCCCATGTGTTTGTTATATGTTTTGAGTTTTGTTTATTTACCTGCTTTGAGTTGTGAAATTTGTTTTCGTTTTCGTTATTTGGAGGTTCAGTACTAAGGTCATCACTGCCTGTGATGTTGTGTTTTGTAGATTTCTAAAAATTAACATATAAGCGACAGAACAATATTCACCCATTCCCATACATGGACCGCCAACGACACAGGGCTGGGGTGCGGGCCGACGCAGTCGTGTTTGGAAATGGGACAGATACAGATCCTTTCCGCGACGAGGACTTGACAGTCGCCGAGATTAGGAGTCGGTGGCCGGGACCCACAGCGCTTTTGGAGGAGGCTGTGACTTTTGCTGGGCTGGACGAGCATCTGCAACAGTGCATGAATCTGCTTATTGGTCGTGCAAATCTCGAACCAAAGCAGAATCGTTACAATGGATATGTCGCTTTTTCTCGGCTGTGCGGGTTCGTCGTTTTCCGACAGAGATTTCCAGACGAGTTTCAAACGGCAATGCGGGAACGATGGCCAGATACAATCATTCGAGGTTTTGAACTACGACAATGTGATCCTCCTGAAAACGCACGTCTACGTCGACGTGCACGGCGGTAAATGCTTCACGACACGAAAGATAGATAGATAGATAGAGAGAGAGAGAGAGAGAGAGAGAGAGACAGAGAGAGAGAGAGAGAGAGAGAGAGAGAGAGAGAGAGAGAGAGAGNAGAGAGAGAGAGAGAGAGAGAGAGAGAGAGAGAGAGAGAGAGAGAGAGAGAGAGAGAGAGTATGCTTGCCTTCAGTGTGAGTACGTATGTAAATCCGACTGTGTGTTTGCCTGGAAACTGACATTTCCTATTGTCGTGACTTGCAGGGATTGCATTATGTAAAATTGGGTTTCCCTGGTGTGCATCATCTTCTTCTTCTTATAATCCTTGATCTCTCATTTGAAGTTCATATATTGTTTTTCGCTATTGTATGTTATTGTAGCATTAGATGTGTGAAAAAAACGATTCTAATCCTCGCTCTCGCCACTCAAGTTCAAAAAACTGACATAAGATACCATCAGATGTGTGGAAAAGAAAAAACAATAAAACATTATATATATATATATATCACAATAATGTATGACGATTTTTTTTCGGCACTCACACGCATAAAATTTCAAACACGCCCACACATGCATAAGAAGAGGGGGAGAGGTGACAGAGTCAAAATTGCACACAGACAAGGATAAGCAGCGGAATTCAGCGAGATCACAATTCATATGATGTTGATGATGAACCAACTGGAACGAATATCATAACAGAGTTTGTTCCAGTCTCTTGTTCCCCGATCGATTTCCCTCCTTCTACTAATAGAGTACATTAATCTAACCTCCACCTATACCGGACTGACTAACCGACCAACACCGTTGCAGTTTCGGCCTCTCAGCCTGTACCGAACCCGACTATAGGCTATAAAACCGTCTATCAGCTTAGGCCATTAGGGTCTGTCTGTCCTGGGGGTAATCCGGGCCTGCTATTCGCAGCAAGGGTACGTATAGGAAATTCGAAATACTGGTGGGCCTATATTTTTCATATGTACAGATATGACCCTCACGAATTTTCCTCACAGGTTCGTCTCATGATTAACACTCAGTCGAACAAAAATACAAATGTAACCCTACGAGGTTGTATACAGCCTCGCCATCAGTCTTGGAAGTCAGACTGAGCAAAAATAGATATATATATATATATACAAGTAAAAAGACGGACATAATGTAGCGTAACAAACAAGACACCATGAGATGTGTGTGAACAACGCCATGCTTAATGAAATTCGGATCACCAGACTGATGTCAGGTCAACGATAAAGCCATTCAACCAGTCAAACGCTGAACAACTCTATATCGCCACCCTCAGATTCGGAGCTCGATGTCTGGACCCAATCATTGCATGCAGGCACCGCATCGTCCTCCACGTGCCCGATGATGAAAACACAGTTCTCCCCCACCGCCTCATAGTCGGAATCTGAGGCATCATCATCAACGACTTCCACTGGGTCGCCCCCACCGTTGACGAACAAATCACTCGGCAATGACCCGGCTCCATAAGGACAAACCTTCTTCCGCAGAAGCTCTCGAGCCCAGTCTGAAACATGAGCCGAGCCGAACACTGATGCGGCCAATTTGTCCTCCCAACAGTCGATCGCCTCGTAACCGTAGTGTCGACGGAAGCCTGGTCTCGCACGTATGGAAGTGCCTGCAGCAATGCGAGCAACATACCCGATCGGGTCGCGCCAGCAGTGACTGTTCCACCGAATCATTGTGATCGACAAACGTGCACAGAAAGACTTCTCGAAATGCATCGACTTCTTCGCATAGATAATGATGGTGCCCTGAAAAGTCTCCACCGCCGATGTATGTCGAAACTCGACGTAGTATGGCGTGATGTTAGTGCTGCATTGTTTATCGAGAACACGCAGAACGAGCTCGTAGACCGTGTCCGTGCGGCTATACAAAGGCAATCGTGCACGCTCACCGGCCTTCTCGCACAGAACCTCCCTACCGTCCACACATCCCGAATGATCATCAGCCCAATGATCGGCGACCAACATGATGTCGCGGTGTAGACCATCTGCGTCTCCGCCCTCCTCCCTTCACAGCTGTCAAGCGCGGAGGAACCACATCCCAAACTCTGGATCAGTCTCCAACGCTCGAGCATTCAACCTCGATCCGTAGGAGTACATCTTTCGCATGACGACAGCGACGAAGTCCGATTTACTGCATGAACTGCGCCTCTGATACACAGTCGTGCGGGCTGCTCGCTTTCTTCGCTTCTTTCATTTGCAGCATACTGTGAAAGTGCTTTCGAATGTTTTTTATTTTGTGGTGGCAATCCTTCTGCCACTCGATGTTCATAGCTCGCAACTTTGGTCCCAGCGCCGCACAATCATCCGAAATAACGCACCGGATCTTCAACCCCTTGTCCATCATCCATCGTAAAAGTTGCACGACGGCTGACACCTCAACCGCATTCGATGCCTTGCCTTCAATCTTCGGACGGAGAGTGTGAACACCTACAACAAGCCGAGTCTCGTACTCCATCGCGGTGACAGTGCAATGCTGCGCGCTTCTGGCAGAGTCATATCGACCAACAACCATCAATGTCACTGGCTCACCACAGCGCATCACAGTGTCAATGGCTAGCTCCCAATATTTTATGCCCTGACGTACGACCTTGGCATTCCACCGCTCCGCCCCCCCCCCGGTTCTGTGCGCATAAACTTGTAGAATGTGGGTTTGTGCACCGAGCACATCCCTAAACAAACACAAAAGTTGTCGAAGAGCGTGAACATAAGGCCGGCGGTGACCGTGGCATGAAAGAGCTGTTGCATCAATCGCGACTGATAGACGTTCGTGGTCACGAGTGCCGTGTGCCACGTCCATTTGCATTTCTTGTCGCATACGAACGTCATCTTACAGAGCTGCGCAGGATAGGAGACGGACTCCATAGACACACGACACGAGCCCTTGTGCCACGGGCAATATAGATAAAACATGGCCAGCAATTGAAGAAGCTTAACCGGCTCTAGAAATACAACATCCGGCGTCGTCGGTGCACTCCATCTACCCATCGCCTCCTCAACACCGGCACGGTCAATTTCAGGGCCAGGATCGCACTGGTCAACACCGTCCCAACTATCCCACCACGCATGCGGCCGGGCAGGTGTCGGTATGCAGCGACCCTCGCTGCGGGGTCTGCCGCGCCCATTGTCACTGCGCTGCGATGCATGAGGTGATGATGGGAACGAGTTCTGCAATCCGTCATGAGACTCACCCAACCCTCCGCTCGCTGAACCCTGTGAACACCCTTGATCGTAGTCAACACCGGAATCGCCTGGTATATAACGCAACGTGAAATCTCAACCGCACACCCGAGATGGCAACGAAGAAGAAATCACATCTCCCACCTCGTCTCCAAACTCTGCTCGGATGGCTGGCAAAGACCAATGCAGCAGTCGATCAATAACGTCGCTGACCGGTCCGCGATGGTCACCGAGATCGGCCATAGCGGCGTGGAGAGCGTACAACCGTCTCCGACACGCGTCCCGCACACACACTCGCACGATGTTGTTGCCGGCCGAACACGGCGTGCCGCCGAGTGCCGTAGAGCTATCCACATCGTCAAATGGAGGTGTGGAATGTGGAGCGACAAAGGGAGCCTGAGGCGGCACTGCAAACGAACCCGCCGCCTCGTCGATGACTAGTCGATGTGAAACCGTTGGAGAACGCAAAGCGTTTCTGCGATCTCCTGGAAGAGAACCGCCTCCAGCGGGACATGGCGGGGCCACCGCATGTGACCATACAGGTGCTAAAGGAATGCTGGCCGCATAGTCCAGCCGTCTAGGCAGTAGTGGGGATGGCAGCAACGGAGCACCGTACACACCTCCAAACGTGGCCGCGTCACGAAACCTGGCCACACCCGGCGGAGATGCCCCCAACACACCCGCGAAAGGCGAAATGGGTGTCACGCCCGCGCCAACGACGCTGTAAGTCGCATGCGAAACGGTACCGCAACGCCGTTTCCCCAAACGGACCTCCGGACTACCGCTGTGCAGTGAAACACCCAACAACCCCCGCGCTGCACATGGAGATCGATCGACGCTTAGGCGAGGATCGGGGGTAACCTGCGGAGATCCCTGAATGAGCGATGATCGAGCTGGGACAGCGTCTTCGCCTGTCGGTGACATTGTAATGTCAGGGTCTGCACAGCACCGAAAGTCAGACAAGCACGAAGTGAGGAGTCAACGAAAACGTGTGTGTGTGTGTGTGTGTGTGTGTGTGTGTGTGTGTGTGTGTGTGTGTGTGTGTGTGTGTGTGCGTGTGTGTGTGAGAGAGAGAG